TAGAAATGTTTAGTAATGACAATCCACAAACACATACTTCTAGATAATTGCCGGCTTTGTATTCTTTGCATACCTTATTTCTCTTTTCTTCCTCATTCCTCTGACAGTGGCCATGTTTACTAAAGGCAGATTACTAGATCTCCATTTACTTCCTGAATTTATGGCACATGTGAATAGACATGTGACCATGCACATCATCTCAGTGGAGGAAAATGCCTTTTCCAGAGATCTCCTGAGATTACAGATGGGATTTCCCAGCAATGCTCTGCTGATGACAAGTCAATCCCAGTGGGCATTGCTTTGCCAAACTGAAGTCATTTTGCCATTTCAGAGCAGGAACTGAATGTTCTGCAAGTGTAAGTATTTCAATATCACAGCATTTTACAATTGACATGTCTATGTTATTATGAATCATCATACATAGAGGGATGCATTGGTAGAATTTGATTTTTGAGTGTAAAGGTTCGCTTTAATCATATGAAATTAAAGTATATGTAAATCCAAATGACACATTTCTCATAGTTGCTCCCTTTGGTTTGTTAAATATATGATTGATAGAGTTTTATTATATTTGTTCGATAATACAAAATATGCCTGTGGATTTTGCCAGATATCTTGTGGGCTAATAACTGTGCTTTTGCATGCACTGACCTCTTATCATTTACACTGTTTCTAGCTATGGAGAGGAGTTCTGTAGTCCTAACACACTTCCTATCCTTAAATGACAAAGCTGCTCCTCCTTAGGTACAGTACAGTGAGTGAGCATTGTCACTCCTGGGCAGTAAGTGTTACTGGAATAATCAACGGGTAAAGAAAAATAATGCGGCCACTACATCTAGGGACTAGTAAGCTGCAATGCATTACATTTCAGTCTTTTGGTTTATGTATGATTTTACCCCTGCCTTTGGTAGCTGAATAACACTATGCCCTGCACTCCCCAAGGGAATAGAGGCAGACACAAAGGTGAATAACATAACTAATGACTTGTGCTATTCAGTGTTATGATTCCTGGAGAACATGAACACAATTTGGAATAAGATGGGAGCAATGTCGTTGGGATCAGTTGATTGGTCATATTCTCTGTCTGTAAACCTGGCCAACACAAACAACATTTGCATGATACAAAAGTATTATTATCTGCAGATCAGAATCGGAATCTGTTCTATTGACAATAGAAAAAAACAATGAGCTTTTCCAGTTACTGTTTCATGCAGCCTTCCAATTTCTTTGAACATATTGGATCTTATGATAATCTCCATTATGGTAGGACTAGGAACTATTAGCCTGGTGGACCAAATACAACTAACTAAACCCTTTTATTGCACAGATAGATTTACCGAAGGGCTTTATAAATATGTACCAGGTAAAGTGTGCCATGGTGCTGCATTGATTGGTGGGCACGGTGAATGGTATTCCTAAAACACATGTTTTTTTGTGATAAGCTTTTTTTTTTTTTTAATCAATTACTGTTTATTGAGCTTTACACATAACAAAAATCAAAAAGAGAAGGAAAAAAAAAGTGATACGCTTTTACATCTTTCAGCATCAACTCAACATTTTACAATCACATGAAATTTAAAGCAGAACTTTTTCTTTATGCAAATTGTTTCTTTTCTCTTGCAGTGGGGCTACCCCTGTACTGCAAGGATTAAGCGCTCATTTTTGTCTAGGTTCAAAAATAACAAAGTTATTCTCACCCGATCCTCCGAGCTGGCTTGCTCTTATACCAGCCCCTTCTGCCTGTGTCCTCCTCTGATGCAGGCATGGCATGTCCCTCGGCATCCTCATGTCCTATACACAGTGTATAGCACACAATGACTCACGAGGACATTAGACCCCTGCAGCACATTGGAGTGAGGTGGAAGAGACCGATCTGAGAGCAAGCCGGCTCTGAGAATCAGGTGAGTATAACGTTGTTATTTTTGAACCTAGACAAAAACGAGCAGTTAACACTTGCAGTGCGGGGGGTAGCCTCACTGCAAGGGTAAAGAAAACTTTTTACTGGAGTTCTGCTTTAAAGCAGCAAAGGAACTTGGTGCTGGAAGACTGCCACTGTCAGATGCTATGATTAATACTCAAAGCTGGCGTGTGACATTGCAGGTGTGTGACATTGCAGTCTTCTCCCTGCAGAGAGCTGTCAGTCACCGCTTCCCACAGGGATTCACCCCTCCTCTCTTTGTTCCTCCAGCTCTCATTGAAAGGACAGACTGAGGAGGGGCGGGCACAGCTGACTCTGCCTCTAGAAAGGCAGAGCCAGCTGTCAATCAGGCAGCAGGGTGGATCCTGACATAATTGTCAGGATCTATACCGGCTGCAGCACGGCTCTGCGCTGTCAGCAAATAGGCAATAGCCAGCTAGATGCTGACTTTAGGGTCACAGGAATAAATTAGTAAATGTACTACTGTGACCCAAAAGAGGACTAAAGCCAAAAAAAGTTAAAACATGGGGAAATGTACTTCATATGTTGTGTTTTTTATTTTTTTTCCCCTGACATACACTTTAAAGAAGAACTTCAGGGAAAATTATTATTAACCCTTGCAGTGGGGCCACCCCCACACTGCAAAGGTTAAGTGCTCATTTTTGTCTAGGAGAGGAAAATAAAACAAGTTATACTCACCTCATTCAGTAAGCCAGTCGGCTCTTAGACCAGTACCAGGACCCTCTCTCCCCCTCTGCTGCAGTGCTCTAAGGTCCCGTAAATCATCACAAAGGGGGTTATTCACAAAAGGGTGAAGAGTTTGGGGAAGGCAGGAGAAGTGAACAATCTAGGACAACATAGCTGATTTGGAAAAATTATCCAATTTAGCTCACTTTCCAGTTAAAAAATGTTGGCCTAGATTGTTCACTTCTCCTGCCTTCTCCAAACCCTTCACCCTTTTGTGAAAAACCCTCATACACAGTATATAGGATGTGAGGACACCAAGGGACATTGTATTGCTGCGGTGTAAGAGGAGAGAGGCTAGAGGGAGCACTATCACAGCCAGCCAGCTCTGGGGATCGGGTGAGTATAGCTTTGTTATTTTCCTCCCTAGACCAAAATGATCAGTTAACCCTTGCTGTGCGGTTGTAACTCCACTACAAGGATTAATAATAATAATTTCTGCTTTAAGTAAAAAAGAATTGCTCTAACAATAGGAATAGGGACTCTGCCACACCATGAAATTTTACAAAAACCTAGGAGTTGGCCTTCATGGACTTTCCTCAAGTCTAGGCTTGCATGTATTTTGAAGTTCTCCAATAACTATAGGAGGTTCTCACTTCAAGTTCATGAAATGTTTTCTCATTTCTCTTCATCCGGCTGCAATCGTAAATCTGATGAGGCATGCTATATTTTAGTCTGTACAATCTCCATTAGATTTACCAACAACTATGTATGATGAGGGCCCAAGTGATTGAAAATAAACTGATTGGATCGTTTAGGCAGGACCTTGCAATACAATGTACATAGTTGCTGTTAAATCTAAATGAGGTTGTACAGAGTTTGTACAATCCGCCTGTAACATTTGTGGCCATTTAAATGTTTATTGTTTATAAAGGTTTAGCTATTTAGAAGTAATTTAATCTCTGTAAATTCAGATGAATGTTGTACTTGCCTTGATCTGTCAGCATGTTTCTCTGTACAACGTCATGAAGATGTTTTATTTCAGAAAAGGTTATAATGTATTGGGGGTTACTTGTCATCCAGGATTGTTTTGCAGTTTCCATTCGAATGACAATCTCTTTCTCAAATTTGGTAATCAGGCCTTGTACCCTACACCCATTTGGGCAGTTGGTAACCTGCTAATAAGAGGAGTTTGGGTCACTTTAATGCCTTTTTAGAATGTGCTCAATAATACATGTAAAATTATTGAATGTATCGATCCAACTATCTACCATGATTTTAGTATTCAGTTATCATTTCTTAAAGTGACACTAAACTCAGGAGTTAAATCTTATAAATGCATTCAAGTACCTTAATTATTAATAAACATGTATCTTATTTGTGTATCACTCAGCTGTAGATCTTCAAATCATCTCTGAACTGGTGCTGATACTGTCCTTCCTTCTGGAGGGTGGCTACTTTTGTTCCCCATGGTCCCTGTGTGTGTTTTAAAGTAGACACCACTCCAAGCTCACTCCATTGATGGACTACAATCTAATGTTTAGTTTACTAATCTGTATTAAAATTATAATCTATCACGGGAGTCAGCTTGGAACCATGGCTACTTTACAACACACACAGGGACCATGGGGAACAAAAGTAGCCACCCTCCAGAAGGAGGGATAATATCAGCACCAATTCAGAGGTAATTTGAGGAGCTACAGCCCAGTGATACACAAATAAGCTACATTTTTGTTAATAGTTAATGTAATTGAATGTATTTTTAAGCTTTAACTCCTGAGTTTGGTGTCACTTTAATTGATGGTTTGTGAAGATTAAAAAGATATTTACAGACAAGATCTTGGTACCAACACATATGTAGGGTTATCTTGTATATTAAAACGTATTGCATAGCAACCAACCAACCCTTATTATGCAGTGATCTAACAGATGGGGCCCGTAGATGAGAATAAGATTAAAGAAAAATGATGGCATTGTTGATATCAGTGAGAATGTGGGTGTATCTTATTCCATTGTAGGCAAGGAAAAACAATTCCTTGCAGGATAGAAAAAGAAAACACTCATTTGATTCGTTGCTATAGACAACATCACATTGTTTTAATTGACGCCTTTTATCTGAAATCCCAACTGCACTTTGTTTATCAAAGTATCTGAAGGAAGTTTGATTCTTGTCACTCATAAAACTGAATGAAATTATTTGAAAGCTGAATAGTATGGACTATAAGAAACAAGGACAAATTTCCTTCAAACAATGATAAGTATGATCTAGTGCTGTCTTTGTATGACAGAGTATATTGGATATATTGTGTTGTACAAAGGACTATTAAACCCGTTAAGCACTATTTTTGCTAAAAAAGAGTGTTACATAGTGTAAAAACAAAAACACAACAACAGTAAGTCAATGTAAGTCATTTAGTTTTCATCTCAGTTACAGTGTCTTCACATTAAGCCAAGAATATAAAAAAAAACACATAATACAGTGATATTGTGGGGAGTGCAGTATTGTACAAAAAATGTTATTATGCATCTGTGTCAACAGGCCGTATTTTCATTTTCACAGTTTTTAGAGAATAATCATCTGGCTTGAAGGACAACCAAACAACCCCATTCTCAATCTCATAGGGGGCATTATTCCTGGGATCATATTGGCCTCCAGTGTAGTAAATCCCATTCAGATTGACAGCTTGGCAGTTATTGTACCACCACCCTCCCCCATACATTTCTGCACAATTCTCCTCCCATTTGTCATTGTCCTTGTCATATGTGCTAAAATTCATTTTATTATGAGAGGTGTTTTCACTGTCTTCTTTAGAGCCTTCTGTGAGAGCATCCCCTGCCGAACCTTCATAAGTACTAACATGAAGAGCATACCCCTCTGATTCTGATCCTAAGCTGAAGATATATTCTGCATAAACCTGCTTCCCAGACCAGTCTTCTAACTCAAGCCTCAAAACTGTCTCGTTCTGGCTCAGCATGTGTATATATTCATTTCCCAGCCATAGTTCTCCTTTCCCATTTGCATCCACCGATCCAAATCCATGCTTGTAGTCTTGCCATGTCCTGTTAAAATTCACAGATCCGTCTTCTCTCTGTTGAATCAAAAGCCATCCTCCTATCTGGGTGTCTTGATCACAATACACTGAAAGCTCTTTTTGGGATCCCTCTGGCCTGATTTTGAAAATGCCACTTATGCCACCAGAACTGTGTTTCTGGAGGATATCAGCACAGTCTAAAAAGAAACGCAGTGTTATCTTTTGCTAGGATTAATATTTCCATTATTATTGAACATTGCTAAGTTTGCCAGGAAGATGGCAGCAATCATGTTTTCCTAAACCTATTTTCTGTTTAACTTGTGTACTAATTCAATTTTTTGCTAAATAATGGTAGTCTTCAGTAATCTATATGATTTTTAAATATTTGTAGTTGTGTATCAATGTAATCAGTACTTCACAGACAAAATGTAATATATGTTAGAAAGCTACAATATTATCCGCTTTTTATGTTTCCAATTACAATATGGTACAATACTTGGCAAGCTCAAGTCATGAAAACTATGCCCTACGCCTCATGTAACCTAGAATATGTGGTCTGATTTACAGGTCATTAGAGTCTTTGCCTTTTTAGTGTCCCCCTACAACTATCTGGTGGCATTTTTCTGCTTTTTGGAAACCTATATTATGTGTTTTTGGCTTATTTAGGGTAGACCCCAGCACTGTGACTATTTCTTTTATTTACCCCTTCCAGTGGTACTTGACATTTGTTTCCTTCCTCCTGCTTGCACACTGCGGGCATTAAAATCAGGCGTGTCTTCTTCACTGTTTTCAACTTGTATTGGACCAAGATCTTCAAATACTGGCCCACTCTTGAATTTAGTACCCCACTCGGTTCCATCCTTTGTGGTTCCGCTGCTGCTGCTTACCACAGTCTTGGAATATGTGGTGGAGCCAGATGAGCTTTGTGATTTGATTGGCGTGAAACTAGGAGGACCAAGGTCTGTATGGCTAAAATCATCAAATTCATCATCTCCAATGGTGAATGAACTCTGAGTTTTCGAGGATGAACTCTGCGTTTTAGAGGATGAACTGCCAGTAGAAAAGCTGCTATCACCGACCTGTTTACCACTAAGAAAATCTTCCCAAGATGGGACGAAGGCACCTCCTGTACTGCCACTTCCAGTTATTCGCACATTGTATGTGCCATCAGCATCAAGCTCACCCTTTCCTTCTTTCTTCAGCTCTTCTAATTTCTCACACTCATCTCCACTGGTTGTTTCAAAAACTTCTTCCCTAGGTCCACCTGGCCCATGAACTATTTTCTTTGTTATGGTTTTAGTACATGTAATAACTCGACTTTCACCTGTGACGGTTGTCTTATCTCCCCCAGCTACTTTTACTGGCTGTTTAACCCCAGAAATAACAAATGTGGAAGTTTGGGAGGGTTGCTCTTTTATGCTACCAGAGGCATGAGATACACTTGAAGTGGACACTGCTTGTCCACTTACCTCTTTTCTTTTCCCTTCTAGCACAAATTGGAATTGTCCAATTTCACTGAAAATGGGATATAGCTCTTTGTTTTGGGCAAGTGTCTTGTATCGTGAATCAACCAAGGGAGCATCTTTAATTGGTCTCATCTTCAGCATAGGTATAGCATTGGTATTTGGTTTCAGATCAGTAGATTCAGCTTGCAAGAGCTGTTTCTGGATATTTCCATAGCTCTCATGATCCACATTATAGTCAACGCCCTTTGCACAAGATCCTTTGCATGAACGGAGTTTAATGTCGATATCGACCTGAAAAAGAGCAAGCGGTTAGAGAGTGCCATGTGTCTTAAATAATGCACATTGAAAAAAACCTAGTTTTAAGGCTTCAGTACACAACTGCTCCCTTACCTCAAGGCGCTTCATTTCCACCACCTGGTCTCTGATGTTTCTTTGCAGCAGTTTGATTCTGTCTATCTGAGTGGTAACTTTTGTTTTCAAGAAATCAATTTTTCTCCTAAGGTTTTCAGTCACCTGGTTATATGCGCCATCGGTCTCTAAAGATGTCAAACAGAAAATATGTAGTCAATGTCATTGACATTGAAAATAGGAAAAGGTCCTATGATGAGGGGCATAGTTATATTCCTGTTGTTATGATATAAAATGTCAAACTAATATAACCTACCAAAAATATTGCAGACAGCATGAACCTGTCAACATGAAAACTTCTTTTAACTAAACCACATATGAAGATGAGACTTTAAGCACTGTATAAGAAGAAAAAAAGTTTCTTAAACCAGGTTGAGACCCTGGAACACTGAAACCCGGTGCCATCTTCTACCTCAGCTGAGCCTCTAGCTATGCCTCTTCCTATGGTAAAATGGCATGCTATTGCTCTCATGCTGTTCTAGGGAAGTGAAGCTCAATAAGCTGAGCTTCACTTTTCTCGACCATTACACAACCCAAAAAAATGACTGCTTACATTCAAGGTTTCCAAGATGCAGAATTTGTTTTACTTGGTAAAAGAACCCCTTTAAAAATATTTCTGTGTGCTCAAATACATACTGTTATATTCCTTTAGAGCAGGGGTGCCCATTAGGTAGATCACGATCTACCAGTAGATCGCAAAGCGAACACTGGTAGATCGCGATCGGCTCACTGACCTGTGTCCTGTCCTCCCGAGGTGCTTGTGCGACTGAATGTGTCAGGCGCCGCAAACGGGAAGGACAGAGGAGAGGAGACCTGGGAAGCTGCTGCAGTGTAGGTAAGAAAAGACAGACAGGAGAGAGACAGCAGAGAAAGTGAGAGCAGAGACAGCAGAGAGTGAGATTTGACAGCAAATAGAAACAGGGGAGAGAGAGGAGAGAGCGCGAGGAGAGAGAGAAGAGAGGGCCATTTCACACCACAAAGTCTTTGTTCCAGAGTGTTCGGCCTCTAGAACGCATTGGACTGCAAGCCGGCCGGCTCCCTGCGTTCAGGGGAGTGGCGGTGCATTGAAGTCAATGGCCACGCCCACAGATCGCACTGGACTGGAACGCAGGCATTAATGTGCCTGCGCACTAATGTGCCTGCATTCCGGGTGCGGGCAAATGCACTGGGGGCGTGGCTGCGGTACCATTGACTTCAATGCACTGTCACGCCCCCTCCCGCCCCTGAATGCAGGTCGTTGGTAGATCTCAATGAGCTCGTCATTTGAAAAGTAGATCTCCAGACGGAAAATTGTGGGTGCCCCTGCTTTAGAGTCTTGGTCTTCAACAGGTATGTCGTGACCCAAAAGTGGATCGTGTTCCCGTGTTCACTGGGTCACGACCCCATGTTCACTGATTAACCGCGTGCCTTCCACTTTTCTAGGTGAGAGGCTTCTCAGCCTCCCCCTAGTGCAGCACTGTCAGTTCTCATGCCAATATGCTGCTCGGCGCCAAGTGTCAGCTTAAGGTGGGGTGGGGTGGGGTGGGGTGGGCTGGAGCTATGGCCGCAAGGGAGCTCCATCCATACCTGCTTCCTCGCATGTCCTGTACCTGCACTTCTACAGGGCACGCAAAGGGGTTGTGCAAGCAATGTACACATGGATGGAGCTCCGTCACAGCACAGCAGCCCACATTGGACACCAGGCTGAGGATCCACTCCAGTTCTCATAAGGTAGGGAGACTGGGTCGATCTTAGAAAAAAAATAAAAACATTTTGGAGTGTAGATGTGTGTGATTGTGTCTGTAGTTGTGTGTGAAATTGTGTCTGTGGTTGTGTGTGTCTGTCAGTGTTTTTGAAGGCCCGTTCACACTAGTACAGTGCATTAATTGAACAGTCCTGTGCGATTAATGCACTGTACCTTGCAATTGCACCTACGCACTCTGGTGTGGGAGGTACATTGCTTTGAAAATCATTTGAATGGCACCCCAAACGCGCCTCCCTCTCACAGTTTATTTGCCCGCACCGGAACGTGTGGTACCGCAATGCTGTGCGCTCCATTGCAGTGCAACTTAATGACCAAGGGCAAATGTGGGTCCTGAGGTTACACAGGTTGAGAAACACTGCTTTAGAAGCATGTAGTATATCAACTAGATACCCTTATTTCCTATGCTCCTTTATACCTGCATGCTGTGTAAAAGAATTACATTTCTCTTTTGTTTTGTTTATGTGGAGTTTAGTTTAGTACAAAGTAGGAAAAAACAAACAAAGACCAGCACACCGTCATCCTCTTAATCAGGCAATGTGTTCACATTGCCTAAAGAAGGGATCCTGCATGGCCCTGCAAAGAGATGTCAGGGGATACATAATTTAGATGTGTGATGGGATGTCTGCATTAGGGACAATAAGCAAAGAGAATGTTAAAAAAGATGTAAAAAAGTTGAAGAAGAAAAAAAAACCCACAGAAATACTAATAGTGGTAATAGACAGACAGACAGACAGGCAGACAGACAGACAGACAGACAGACAGGCAGACAGACAGGCAGACAGATAGATAGAGAGAGAGAGAGAGAGAGAGAGATAAACAGATAGATACTTCACTAGATGTTATGTAAAAAGTAAAAAAGTTAAAGAAGAAAAACAGGACTTGGAATAATATTCCACAATGCATGCAGTAGGACGATTGCTGCTGAATTTGCAGCAGTAATACGTACGTTGTGCTGAAACCAGATTTCCTTTAATGAACTCATATGTCTCCTTGGTTCTGATGTCAATACTTTTATAGTTGCTTTCTCCATCTTTTAGTTTCTGTTTAATGACATCAATTCTCTTGCTAAATTCTTTGTCAGCTTGGGTACTTAAGCCTTGAACCCTGCATCCAGAAGGACATTTGGGACCCTGCAGGCAATGTATGATATATGAAAATGATAGAATATACAGCATGACACTTTTCACTTTAACACATGACAAAGGGTTTTGTTATGGATTACAACACTTGCGCTTAATAAAAAATACTGTTGAATCTAAAAAACTAAAATACAGGCACAAAGCAGCTGCATATTTTGTGATTAAAATGTAAAGTACAGAGATATGATGAGATTTCTGATGTGTTAAATGTAAAATAGAGAGTTATTCATTAGGATTAGGGAGTACATTCTGAAGTAAGGTGCAGTAGGTGGTATGTGCAGAGATATAGGAATTAGCTGGGACAAAGGCAATGCCAATACAAAAGTCCTTACTTACCCAGTCCTCATCTGAACACACTTGCCAGCTTTTTTCTTGCTTGCAGCCAGAAGCAGCTTTTTGTTCCACAATTCTGGGGCCACGACCAGTAGCACCGGCATCTTCAAAATCCTCTGCTGTCTATTCATTGAACAAATAACAAGACCATAAAATGTATTGTACCTTTCTTATAACTTTTATTATTACAACAATCTTACTGGTTATATTTATATTATATTATTTACATAAAAGAGTGCTCTATCTTTTGGATAGAGTAAGGAAGGGTTATAACCTCTGTCAGTTATTTTGCCCTCTGTTTCCTATTAGTGACATTTCACTTCCTGTCTGATAGCCACAACAGGAAGTGAGATAAAACCCCCCACAGTGTGGAAAATCCCTGGTACTAAGTAGGGTCACCAGAACTAGTGCCGCAATGGATTTCCCATCTATTCCTATTTTGGTGACAAGCCAAAATTTGGTATTTTCTTTCACTTTCAGTGATATTCCCCTGCACAAATTTAGAGGCTGAATCTCCTCAACGGGGAGGTGCAGGTGTTTTAATCCTTCTCCACTCTGTCCATAACTAAAAAAAGGTTTTGTCTTCAGTTGCACTTTAATCCAAAGACTTCTATACTTTGAGACTTTTGTTGATTTACTAACCTTATAAACACACCACGAACGTGTATACACCTACTGTCTCCTCCACTGACATAAGAGTCACAAGGAGGAACCATTGAGAGTGTGGGGGGACCACACAGATTCACAGTCCTGAAAGTCTCAGGTTGCCAGTAAACTTTGAGGGATGATTTTTGAGGACTGGAACAGCGTTCAGCCATGCAGGGCAGGAGAGGTAAGTATCACCTCTCTTCTTATACAAGTACATTTGCCTTGGAAATGTAAGTATTGAGTCAGGGTTCCTGCTTAAAGTGACACTAATCTCAGGAGTGAAATCTTAAAAATACATTAACTATGAACAAAAATGTATCTTATTTGTGTATCACTCAGCTGTAGATCCTCAAATCATCTCTGAATTCATGCTGACACCAAGGTCACTACAATCTCACATTTAGTTTAATCATTCATATTGGGATTGTAGTCCATCACAGGAGTGAGCTTATAGCGGTGACTACTTTACAAGACACACAGGGACCATGGGGAACAAAAGTAGCCACCCCCCCAGAAGGAAGGACAATGTCAGCACCAATTCAGAGATGATTTGAGGATCTACAGCTGAGTGATACACAAATAAGATACATTTTTGTTAATAGTTAAGGTACTTGAATGCATTTTTAAGATTTAACTCCTGAGTTTAGTGTGACTTTAAAGTAGAACTGAAGCCAAAACTTTTTTTTCCATCTTTTTACCATCTTTGTCTCATTTGGGAGATTTTCCTTCACTTCCTGTCTGATAGCCACATCAGGAAGTGAGAAGAAATCCCTCCAAAGTGAGAGGAAATCCCTGGTGGTCAGCAGACTTATTATAACAAGTGTAAAAGGGTCTGGTATGGGTTGGGAGGGGGACCCCACTCTGTTTTTTTTTTTCTTTTCTTAACAATTTTTTTCCATTTTCTTTATTTTACATCTTTTTTTAATATTTTTTTTTTCTTTTGATTATTTTTTTTTACATTTTCCTATTTAGAGAGCAGAATAGCCAAGCCAAAGCCAGCCGATGTACGGCTGATTTTAGCCAATGTACGTACATGGTCGAAGTGAATACCCGAACTGCGTTCGGCTCAGTTCACTTCGGCTTGGTTATTCACTCGGCTGCCTTTGGCAGCTTTGTGAATAACTCCTTTGTGCTTTGTGAATAACTTCCTAAGTTAACAGGAACAAGTGAGCAGGAGTTTTGACTTCAATCTAGACCTACAAGCTTGTTCTAGGTCAACGTCTTAAAGGGTGAAATGCACAAACGGCCAGGTAACTAGCAATATGAAAAGGAGATCAACAATAGCATTTGCAGTATTTCTTAGTACAGATGTTCTATAATAATAATAATAATAATGGTTTACTATTCTAGTGTATATACAATACATGCACATATTTATAGATAAATAGATAGATAGAAGATGATGGTGTACTGGTGATTTTAGCACCCGCCAAGAGATGTCAGGGGATACACCATTTAGATGTGCGATGGGATGTCTGCATCATTTTTGTACAAAAGGGACAAAAAGCAAAGAGAATGTTAAAAAAGATGTAAAAAAGTTAAAGAAGAAAAAAAACTCCACAGAAATACTAATAGTGTGGTCACTTGAAAAAAAGATAGAAGATAGATAGATAGATAGATAGATAGATAGATAGATAGATAGATAGATAGATAAAGATGGTTGGGTGGATGGATAGATAGATAGACTAATAGATAGGGTGATGTAACTAATAACTAAAGATGAAATGGGGATTTCCTTAGTAGTATTAGTTACATTTAATTCCCTCTGACATTCTCTAGAATTGTTACATTATATTTCTGGTTACTAAAAATGTATTTATTTCCTAGGATCCCCAGATCCCCAGCTATAAATAGACTCCTTTACACATCTTAGCTGAGGTAACAACATATTTGTGTAAACCTAGCAGTTAAATATACTCTTAAGAAAATATTTAGAAAATACAGAGAGTAAAAGAATTGTATAGAATCGTAGATAATGGAATGTATCATACCCATGCGGAGCTCACGAGGCAGAGCAACACGGTGGCAAGTGTTGATTTCAGCATCTTTTTGTCTTTGGCTGAGTGAAGACTCTAGTGAGGCTATAGCTAGTAGATGTGCTTTTTAAGCCTAGCCACTTGTGTAAGGTCAATCATTAGACTGTGTTTGGTTTACAAAGCTAATAAGACCTATGCACCGGCCTGATGTCACTGCCCAGGTCAGTATTGCTCAAGTCACTGAGTAAATTTAATCTGTGAGATGTTCTGTGAGATGACCTGATGTTCTGGGACCCTGGGCTGAAAACACTAAGATTTGCTGTGTGGGAGGATAGGGACAAACAAGTGGGAAGACAAGAACACTGATCTCCAGAATACCTTGTAATGTGACATTTTACGGTAAAAACGCCTCACAGAATACCATGTACACAGTATAGCAGATTCATCGACCTTCTGGTTAAGAAACGTAGTCATGTATCTTGTACAAATGATGAAATAAACAAGAGATTACATTATTGAGCAATGTATACCTTTACGCCAAAATGAATTGTCACAGGATAAGAGAATATGCATAGATAAAGCCATTACAAAATAAATACAGCATAACAACACTAAAACTGAATACTAACTATCATAAACGTATCATAAACATCTATGGTTTCATGTATTAGGAAGAAGGAAGGTGGGCTCACTGTGCTTTGGTGGTGGCACAATCATAGTGTAGAACCGAATGTGTCAAATACATAAGCTTCTAATGGTGCTCATACAAAAACATCTGATAGGAAGCTGCCATCTGAAATTGGTTGCTTTTTTCATGTAAGACACCCAAAATACTGAATTCAGGTATATGTAAACCCCACCACTAAAAAAACATAGAAAGGTTAACTTGTTAATGTCATCTAAAATGTGTATTCAATCTTTTTAGTTGCATCTTTCATTAAAATAAAACCTAGTTATCCTGTCATGACGGTCCTTGTTTGGGCACTTCCTGTTAAGTGGAGACAGCTGTCCCCCAACTGTGCCCCAGCATTGTCACTCTGTCCCCGTGCACCCGTGGTGGAGACAATGGGGTTGATTTACTAAAGGCAAATAGGCTGTACACTTTGCAAGGGAATTTGCACTTTGCAGAGGAAGTTTTCCCCTTAGGCTCCATTCACACATAGCGTTTGTGTCTTCTACGGTTTTTACTACTATAGTCGGAACGCGCGGAACTTGCCCAGAATATCGCGCTTGCACTTTTTTGTGTGACTCGCATTTTTGTAGCGCGTAGACGTCGCGCAGGTGTGAACAAGAAACATTGGAATTTATTGTTTTTTATGTTTAGCGCGTTTGAATATCACTAGTGTGTGAACGGAGCCTTAGCATAGTGCAATTTCACTTTGCAAAGAATAGCCAGTCATGTGCAAAGAATATAAACAAACTGTATTTTTGCTGGCACAGGAGTGAATGATAGAAGTCAGCAAAGCTCCACCTCAGTCACTAAACTAAGTGAAAATTCCCTTGCAAAGTGGACATTAGTTTAGTAAAATAAACCCGTAAGAGCAATTGTGCCAACACACATTGTAGGAGCATGATCCACCATTGTCATTATAACAAACTGGTCCAGAGCAATGATGTGCTGCAAATGCTTTAGCAAGTGTATGTGGGCAGGAAGTCGTTTAGAGTGACACAGGAGTTGAATCCTAAAAATGCATTCAAGTACCTTAACTTTTAACAAAAATGTATCTTATTTGTTTATCACTCGGCTTTAGATCCTCAAATCATCTCTGAAATGGTCCTGACACTTTCCTTCCTTCTGGAGGGTGGCTATGTTTGTTCCCCATGGTCCCTGTGTGTCTTGTAAAATTGCCACCATGCCAGGCTCCCTCCTGTGATAGACTACAATCTCACATTTAGTTTACTGATTTGTATTGACAATGTAGTCAATCACAGGAGTGAGCTTGGAGCGGTGGCTACTTTACAACATAAGGACCATGGGAAACAAAAGTAGCCACCCTCCAGAAGGAAGGACAGTGTCAGCATGAATTCAAAGATGATTTGAGGATCTACAGCTGAGTGATACACAAGTAAGATACATTTTTGTTAATATTTAAGGTACTTGAATGCATTTTTACAATTTAACTCCTGAGTTTAGTGTCACTTTAATTACTTGCCAAATGCAGTCAATTCTTTGTATCAAAATATTGCTGCCTTAGCTTGTATTAATTATAACTTTGGATGTTATTAGATGGAAGAACATTCTATTTGATAATGCTATTATTGGTTTTGTCATTAGTATATCATTAGTGTCATTAGTACTGTAAGGAACCCCTTCCTAAACTCAACATTTTCTCTCTTTCATACATATATTATTTCTCCTTATTGTTTCTCCAGCTAATTTTTGGATCTCTTGGATATATTAAAATAAATTAAAGGACAAATCCACTTTTAGTAGAAAGTTCACAAGTACAACCGTTGCCCTTTAGTTCTCCAAACCTAAACTAATATAGAAAACCCCCACCCAGCTGCTTGCTCACCTCGGCAGGAGGGCAGACTTCCCTGCTGTTTACCCCTTCAGGCCAAAATCAATATTATATTAGTATCACCAATTTGAACTCACTTTTTATACAAACCAGATTTTTTCATTGATATTGCAGCTGCCCCATGGCATTGAGAGTGGCTAACCAGTAAACCAAAATATTTATCTTGTTATGCCCAACTTTATTTTATGAAATATATAAAGGTTAATGCTGTCAAAGCATATATCATTTTTCAGCAATATATTTAATTTGCCATGTACCTGTCCATGTTAACATTTTCTTAAAATCTTTCTGTAATATGCTCCTGCTGAGTAACAATTCTTTACCACTTAAACATGTATCATTTACAACAAACCTTTTTCTTTCACCTATTTCTTCCCCATGAACGGTCACTGTCCCTTTTCTAACCTTTTTAATTAAAATTTACAGTATGTATAGCAAAACTTTTTTTATTTTTGGATAGAGCGGAGAAGGGCTAAAATTGGGGGGATTTCTCTTAACTTCCTGTGTCGAAAAAGCAACAGGAGAGGAATTCACCTCTTAGACAGTTGCCACTGGAAAATGTATCCTCACCTCTTGTAAGGGTACCTATTTTTTTTTCAACTAAAAGTTTTGAGATACCAATCACTTTCGGTCTTGATGATAATTGTCAACAGAACAAACAAAGAAGGTTAATCTACAAAGTCGGGACACTGCAATAAAAACTTGATTGGAGTTTTATTTCCACCCCACTTCTTGTACAGAACTACTAAAAAAAAATTTCAGCTACACATACACTTTAAAGGCATAAACAGTGTTGTATGCCAGTTTAACTCTGGAGTTAAATCTTCAAAATACATTCAAGTACCTTAACTATTAACAAGAATGTATCTTATTTGTGTATCACTCAGCTGTAGATCTTCTAATCATTCCTGAATGCAGGCTCACACTGCCCTTCCTTCTGGAGGGTGGCTCCTTTTGTTCCTCATGGTCCCTGTGTGTGTTGTAAAGTAGACACCGCTCCAAGCTTGCTCCCCTGATAGACTCTAGTTTCAATATGAATTAGTACACTAAATGTGGGATTGTAGTCCATCATGGAATGAGCTTGGAGCGGTGGCTACTTTAAAACACACACAGGGACCATGGAGAACAAAAGTAGCCCCCCCTCCCAGGAGGAACTACAGGGACAGCACCAATTCAGAGATGATTTGAGGATCTACAGCCGAGTGATACACAAATAACATACATTTTGTTAATATTTAAGGTAATTTAATTTATTTTTAAGATTTAAATCCTGAGTTTAGTGTCACTTTAATTCTATTAACGCACAGGGATGGATGTAATCTGGGAGGGATGTTTTATCTATCTTAATTAATATCTAATGTATTAGCTACACATCTTCTTGTGTTAGCCAAGTAGCATTGAAACAGGAGTGTTGGTTTCCTCTCCACACTGTTTTATGTGGCACTGGCCACCCTTTTAGGACCACAAAAAATATGTAGCTTTTACTTTGTCCTCTACAGTTATATTTCCAATTTGTTTTTGTTTTCAGACTTCTTAGAGTTCATACAATGAGAAAAGTTTGTTTCCTGTCATGTTATTTGAAGTCACATGTTTTGTATCACTGCCCTTGCTCACCAAACAGTCTTTGATATACTGGACTTTCTATCAGTAATTCATGGGACTTCTGGATTTCCAGAAACATTCATGTTGTTTACCTAAAACAGTAGACAGTGGAGCTAGGAAATTTGCTATACACTTTCTGTGATACATTTTTCACTCTATTTCTTCCCTTACTTGTTGTCTAAGAGCATGTGGCAGGCTCTTCTGGGATAAACACCTACTATTAGACTGGATTCTCATAGATGAATTTGGTAACATACAATTATGTTCCCTTCCAATGATTGTTGTGGCACCATTGTATGTAGCAGAACCTTAACCATCGTAAACAACAGTTTACATGAGTGATTTATTTTTTTATTTTTTTGTATAATCTTTATTTTGCTGTTTTTCAAATAATTTCTGGTACAAAGGAACATTCAAGGATCAAAAGTGGGTCAAACATTGATCCCGACATAGAAAAAAAAAATAAAGGTTACAAAAATACAACGACATACATAATCACCTTATAGTACAATAAGCGGGTATTCAGCCCTGCTACATCATATAGGCTCGACCTTAAGCAAAGAAGGCGATGTCTCTGGCACCGCCATGAGTATTAGCTTATCGTGCACCGACTTATCTCCGTTGAACCCAGACAATATTAACTGTAATCCAGTGTTAGGGGGCAGTTCACGTAGAGAAACCATCAAAGAAGGCCAAGACTGGGGGAATGACATCTCGGCCCAGGACTTGGGTAACCTCATGTGAGCTCACTCAAGGCGGGTTTGATATATAGTGCAACCACGCTGCCCATTTTGAGTAGAAGCGGTCAGGTTTGTTTCCGCTCTTCACCACCCACTCTCCTGCCTCCTGGATTAGTGTGACCTGCGCCACCCACTCAGACCTCCCCGGTACCCGAGTCTGTTTCCAGTATCTGGGGATGAGTCTCCTTGCCGCGTCTAAAAGATG